TGGCACCCCTGTTTTGTAATATGAATGACTTGATGTGGTTTTTTTGTGCTTGTCATGTATGTAAACTGCTTTGAGATCTTGTAGACAGTACAGAAGTTTATAAATGGTAAAAAGATAAAGGTACCCCTAATAGGTAAGTCTAGTTGCGAACGACTATGGGGTTACGTGCTCATCTCAGTCTATAGGCTGAAGGAGCTGGCATTTGTCCACAGACAGCTTCCGGGTCATGGGGCCAGCATGACTAAGCCACTTCTGGTGAACAGAGCAGCGCACGGAAACGCCATTTACCTTCCTGCCAGAGTGGTACCTATTTATCTACTTGCACTTTGACGTGCTTTCGAACTGCTAGGTGGGCAGGAGCAGGGACCAAGCAACGGAAGCTCATCCCGTCGTGGATTTGAACCGCCGACCTTCTGATTGGCAAGTCCTAGGCCCACAGCGCCACCTGCTAGGGGACTATAAATGGTAATGATAATTGAATAACAAACACATACATTTGACAGCATTTGACCTGTAGAAGCTGGTATTTGACAGCTGTCATGATGTCAACAGAGCATATGCCATGATGCGGCATGCATCAATCAACATTTGATGGTCTCTAGCAGCGGACTTACAGTAGCAGTCATCATTTGGCCACAGCTGACAGCTGACATGTAGTAGCACACATTATCTAACAATATTGGATAGATGGTTTGCAATAGGATTTAATAAATTAACTTTGCTTTGCATTTACATTTGGATTTCAAATTTCAGTTTTGAAAATGACATTGGTATTTGGCCCACTGATGTTGATGCCGAAATCCAGATTTCAAAATGTCAGCATGTCTGTTTCACACGTTCCTTCTGAGAAGATGCCTTCGCTGTACAGTGGTACCTCGGGTTAGGTTCAGGTTACATACGCTTCAGGTTACAGACTCCGCTAACCCAGAAATAGTACCTCGGGTTAAGAACTTTGCTTCAGGATGTGAACAGAAATCGTGCAGCAGCGGCACAGCGGCAGCAGGAGGCCCCATTAGCTAAAGTGGTGCTTCAGGTTAAGAACAGTTTCAGGTTAAGAACGGACCCCCAGAATGAATTAAGTTCTTAAACCGAGGTACCACTGTATTCTTTTCAGCACCTGCTTAAAACATTTTTGTTTAGGCAAGCCTATCCAGACATGTGTTATAACTTCTCTTACTGTTCATTTTAATTATCTTTAAATGTTTTTAAACTGTTTTAATAGGGGGGAAAACACTGGTAGTTTTAGTATCTCTTGTAAACCGCTTAGAGGCTTTGCTACAATCAAGCCGTGTATCAACTTTGTTAAATGAACTAAATTTGTGCTGCACCGACCTCGCCACTGCCTTGCCCCTCTATCTCCTGGTAAGCAGCACCACTGCAAGACCCTTCTCTGCTGGCCCTCATCTTAAAAATTAAAATATATGAACCTGCACTTTTATTGCTTTTTTGGGCTGAAAAATGCTGGTTGGTTCATGGGCTTTGCATGCAGGCATTCATCCTGCTGGTATGTTTTGCAGAAACCAGCGTGGTCTGCTGCTAAAAGAGGGGGAGAACGGGGCTGGCACCAGAACCCATGTTATCACCCATGTTGGAATGTTACAGAAACCTTATCGTTTCCTCTGGGATCTGAGGGGTAGTTCTGCTGACAGAGAATTTTATTATCTGGTGGCTGGGACGTTCTGAGAGGAGTTTTATGTCAAAATTTTAATCTTCTGTTGGGGAGGAAGGAAAAACAGCATGTAGCAGAGTTGGTTTGGGAGGCCTGCAGGACGATAGCACTGGGTGTCCTCCTCCAACTTTCTCACACACACACACCTCCCCACTCCATTTGTAGCAATGGTACAGCTTGGCTCAGGAATTCTGACTAAATTACTATGTTTCTAAGAAAGCATGTCAAAGTCCCTCACCATTCACAATTCTCCCTCCCTCGTGGAGACTGAATGGCGGCCCAGGCTTTTCAGCTCTTTTCTTGGCCTCTCTCCCTGTCAGAATCAGCATTTTCTGAGTGTCGTTTATTTCACTTAGTTTCAATTTGCTTTGTTCTCGTTTAAATCTCAGTTTAAGTCTGCCTCGAATAGCCCAAGTGGCTGAATTCACTTGTGCAGTGATGCTACAGGGATGTGAAACCCAGTCTCACCCCACCCCTTCTGTGAAATCTAGATGACATCATCTGCCAGAGCAAAAGGATAACTGATGGAATTTCCTTGCTCTGGCAAGTGAATGAGGTGATGAGGAGGCTTTCAAGTTTATTTGTGACAGATGCGCCATGGCTGCACGCGAATGCCCAGGCTCCTAGGGAGGAGATTGTGGTTGGGTTGTGCTTCCCCACTCATTTTGCTGCTGTGCTACACTGAGCTAAGCCATGTTTTGACTTAGATTGTTGTCTGAACCCAGGCTTGTGATTGTTGTTGTTTAGTCGTTTAGTCGTGCCTGACTCTTCGTGACCTCATGGACCAGAGCACGCCAGGCACTCCTGTCTTCCACTGCCTCCCACAGTTTGGTCAAACTCATGCTGGTAGCTTTGAGAACACTGTCCAACCATCTTGTCCTCTGTCGTCCCCTTCTCCTTGTGCCCTCCATCTTTCCCAACATCAGGGTCTTTTCCAGGGAGTCTTCTCTTCTCGTGAGGTGGCCAAAGTATTGGAGCCTCAGCTTCATGATCTGTCCTTCCAGTGAGCACTCAGGGCTGATTTCCTTAAGAATGGATAGGGTTGATCTTCTTGCAGTCCATGGGAATCTCAAGAGTCTCCTCCAGCACCATAATTCAAAAGCATCAATTCTTTGGCGATCAGCCTTCTTTATGGTCCAGCTCTCACTTCCATACATCACTACTCGGAAAACCATAGCTTTAACTATATGGACCTTTGTTGGCAAGGTGATGTCTCTGCTTTTTATGATGCTGTCTAGGTTTGTCAATGCTTTTCTCCCAAGAAGCAGGCGTCTTTTAATTTCGTGGCTGCTGTCACCATCTGCAGTGATCATGAACCCCACAGGCTTGTGATTTAGCTTTCTCTAACTATAAACTGTAATCAATGTTTGTTCTTGGTTTACAGTTCTTGGTTTGCCCAGGAGAGCTCAAATATCAGCCTAGGTTTGTGCAACACACTAAGCCAAAATGTAGCTTATCCCAATGAGACACAGCAGCAAAATGACCAGGGAGAAGCAACATGGCTGCAGTCTCTTCCCCAGTAGCCTGCACACTCGTGCATGTGCTCTGTGCCATGTTTGGCTTAGTGTGCTATGTGAACCAGACCATATGCTAGAATAAGTTGGAGAATGAGGAAGACTATCAAGCAGAGACTGGATACTTCTTTCCTTTTATTTGATAGGGTTCCTGCTTCCACACTAGCACTTTAAATGGTAAGAGTGCTTTGTGAGATGGTTTGCATTTCTAATGAAATGCCAAAGGCTGCATTTCATTTGGCTAAATATGTTTTACATGTTGAATGTATGCAGTCACAAGCAAGCTGCAGTGAGTTCCATGACGTGTACTCCTATCATAGGCTGCTTCCTTTATATTTAATTAAATGAATTGTGCCTTTACTTTAATTGTGTAGTTGGTAATGTTTTATGGTTTTGCTGTGATTCTCTTTTATGCAAGCTGCTTTGGGAGGATCTATGCTCTTGAAAAGGGGCACAAACATATCACTTAGAACAAACCAAGTAATTTGTCAAGCCGAACTACACGAAGCATACTTTAGTTGAGCATGCTCTTGGTTTGGGCATGCCTTATATTTCAAAGGGATGATGGTGAGGCCCAGCAAACTTGGCTTGTGTCCCAGGTAAAGGGAGTGCTGGTGCAAGAGTTCCATTGAAAATATTATTGGAAAGGTAACAAGGTTGACCTCCACTACACTAGAGGTAGGAATACTTCAGCTAGCTGTGCATAGAGTTGCTAGAGTAGAAGCTACGTTAGTGATTGGCTTCCACTACAGGTAATTTTATGATCAACACAATTGCTGTGTAGCACAGTGCCTCAGAAGCAATATAGCACACAAAGTGGCTTGTGGGGGGTGGGAGTGGGGCTACTGTGCTAGGTTCCTCTCAGGTAACTGCTGTTATTTACCAAGAAGGGGAGGGAAGGTTTATGCTAGGAAGATGCTCCACCAGCAGGGCTGGATTGGCTCCGCTGGTGCATTTGCACCTTATCTCACAGCCAAGACCATATAACACCGGTCCTGAAAGACCTACAAACACAATTCAAAGTGTTGGTGCTGAACAGCAAAGCCCTAAACGGCCTCAGCCCAGTATACCTGAAGGAGTGTCTCCACCCCCATTGTTCAGCCTGGACACTGAGGTCCAGTGCTGAGGGCCTTCTGGCGGTTCCCTCATTGCAAAAAGTGAGGTTACAGGGAACCAGGCAGAGGGCCTTCTCGGTGGTGGTGCCTGCCCTGTGAAACACCCTCCCATCAGATGTCAAGGAAATAAACAACTATCTGACTTTTAGAAGACATCTGAAGGCAGCCCTGTTTAGGGAAGTTTTTACTGTTTGATGTTTTATCGTGTTTTTAATATTCTGTTGGGAGCCACCCAGAGTGGCTGGGGAAACCCGACCAGATGGGCAGGGAATAAATAAATAAATAAATAAATAAATAAATAAATTTTATTATTACCAAACTCCTTACCCCTCCCCAACCTGGAAAGCTGATGTAAGGTCTCTGCTCCACCCAGCAAGCCCTTTCTGTCAGCCTGAGTTCACCAAGTGTTCTTTCATACGTTGGCATATTCTTGAAAGCTTCTTTATACTGCCTTGGACTACCTAGCTCAGTATTGTCTGCCCTGATTGGCACTGGAGGCTCTCCAGGGCTTCAGGTGGGGTCTCTTTCTCTTTCCTGGAGATGCTGGGGACTGAAGCTTTGGCCTGCAGAGCAGATGCTCTTCCACTGAGCTATGACGGTTGAGGATCTGTGCCGCTCATGGTGGTTCAGGCTTTGTATTTTCTCCATGCCACATAGCAATACTTCTGCTTCACCTGACTTCACTTTCTCTGTGATCGATAGGCTGACGGCGCAATGGAGTGTGGAGGACGAGGAGGAAGCAGCCAGAGAGCGGCGCCGAAGGGAGCGTGAGAGACAGCTGAGGTCCCAGGCAGAAGAAGGCCTGACCACCACCAGCACTTCTTCCGAGAGTGGGGTGGCAGCGCAAGAAAGCCGGTGAGAAGCGACTGAGCATAAAATGACACACACACACCCCTTATTCCAGTCCACTGTTAAAACACAAAATAAAATCCCACAGTTGTCAGCTGCTTTATGAAGAATTCTCCAGAACTCAACAGTATGTCCTCAAATAGAAGATAATTCAATAAAAGTGACAAGGAATTGCTTTATTTGTGATGCATTTATATATGTATATATAGTTTTGCTTTGTTTTTATTTCATTTTAAGGAAATATTATTTACAGTTGTGTTATTTTGTGTAATAAAATAATACAGTGGTACCTCGGGTTACATACGCTTCAGGTTACAGATTCCGCTAACCCAGAAATAGTACCTCGGGTTAAGAACTGTGCTTCAGGATGAGAACAGAAATCGTGCTCCGGCAGCGTGGCGGCAGCGGGAGGCCCCATTAGCTAAAGTGGTACCTCAGATTAAGAACAGTTTCAGGTTAAGAACAGACCTCCGGAACGAATTAAGTACTTAACCCAAGGTACCACTGTATAACATTTTTCAACCAACCAACCAATATGGTTACAATAATACTGAGGAAAACATGATTATTATCTGGCTTGGTACGCCAGCACTGTGTGAAGGCCAGATGAATCAGCTCCCATGTGGTTGGCTGCAATCTCATTATTTCAGGGAGAACAATAATTTCCTCTAGTGTTTGAGGTGGCAGTAATTGGGCTCTCCTCATTTAATCCCCACAACAACCCTGCAAGGTAGGTAGGTTAGGTTGAGAGGTGGCAACTGGCCTGAGGTCACCCAGTGAGAATTATGAGAAGAAGCCCCATGTTTTCCTCCCTTGTAAGTCAAAGGCAGGGGGAATTCAGCTGGTAGGAGAGGGAAGGTGATTCATTCTCTTGATTGCCAGTTTTCCCCTGCAAATGTTTTCCCAAGCCATCTATAATATTTTCTGTCTCTCCTGGTCAGGCTCCAAAGCTGAAAGTGTAAATGGGATGAAAATGTGATTTTTTTTGTGGGGGAGTGGGAGCAATTGCTGGAGAAAATGGGGTGGCTCAGTAATGGCCCTGCAACTTCCCTCCTCTCTCTCTCTCTCTCACACACACACACACACACACACACACACACACAGAGTTCTCTCAGCAGATGCAGGGTTGTGACCATGTGTTTGCCAGGGAAATGCCCCATTAGAAAGTGACCCCTTTATAGTGTTGCATCTGAAGACTGGATATTGGAGGAGAAGTTAATACAAAGAGGGAGAAACTATGCTTCTAGCTATTTTTCAATAAAAGAAAGGTTTTCATTTTCACTTAAAAAAATAGTTGACTTGATGGCTTCATGCCGCTCCCCACCCATTTCTCAGCCTTTTCTGCAGCTGTTGATCTGGCTGCAAAGGTCAACATATGAATACTGTCTTTCTCTTAAGTAAACTCAGCTCGCACTTATGGTGACTCATCCTCTTCTTGTACCTTGCTGCACCAATCCCTCATTTCCAGGAAGGAAGGGGGCTTCTTGCAGCCACTTTCAACAAACAGCTGTGATAACTTCCCTGTAGGTCCAGATTATGCTTGTTGGACATCCTTTATTGTGTCAGAACCTCACAGAATGTCTTGGGCACCTCTCCACCTTCAGTTGAGTATGATGAGTATACAGGACTGAGGGTGGGGGAATGGCAGTGGCCAATGCCATCAACACCATGCCATGTTTGGCTTCCAGAGGCATCCAGCTGGTGACTGTAAGGAGAAACAGACTAGGGTGGAGTCTTAGATTCTTACTTCAGTACAGTAGAATTATCCATGCAGCCTCAACCAAATGACCAAGTCCAGGAAATACAGTATTCTGTGAGCTCATTTGCAAATCGGACCAATGGTAGTCTCTCTTCAATACAGTATTTTACCAACTCAAGCTCTCATTTTAATTTTCCTAGCTTTTTACAGCGATCTGAGTTGTGCAATATTTCACACAGTGGATTCAAGTTGTCATCATTCCTGCAATGCTTGCAGACTTGCTACTATAACAGTATTGTCTCTTTCCTTGAATCTGTTTTCCAATTCATTGAGTGCAATGGTCAAGAACAATGTCATCAAGCCTTCTCTTTCATTCCTTCCTTCAAAACTGACACCCCCACTGTCAATAATACTGTCAGAAAACTTATGTGAGCTTACAAAGAGGTTTTGATGATGCTTCGTGGTCAGCAGTTTCCATGCTTTCCTCGGCTGCTTCCATAGTGTTACTGAAAACAATATCCTTTTGCATTTCTTGCAACTGCCTTGTAGAACAATAAGTTTCAATGCTGCCTCAATATCCGGAGTCTTCTGCTATAACAGTGATGTTATAAGTTTAAGATATCCCAGTTATTTTAGCATAATTTCAATAACAAGGGAGGGCAGATAGATGACTAATCTAACTGAGCAATTCAATAGCTCCAGTTTTTAGATGGCCAATTTTTTCACAAGGGAAAGATGCACTGATGCATTTGTGTGTGGAAAGAAATAATTATTTATCTGAATGTATAATCATAAATGAATCCGAATGTCCAGTCCATTGTTGAACCAACAGGCATTTTAAAAAGCTACCTTTATAAATCTGAGCAACACACCCATTTTTAAGAAAAATACACACAACTGTTTACGTAAGTCAAAATATTCCTTCATTTAAGGTAGAACCTCAGTTATGTGCACTATTGCCAAATGGAGTTGGTGATTTCAAGCAATGAAGAAACAAAATGTTTCAGTCAAGTTCTTTTGAGATCAAAGCTTGAACACCACCAGATGTGCATTTCAAGACAGATGCTTCATCATGCGATTGAGTAATTAGTTTGTCAAAATCTGACTGTAAGCCAGCTAATGTGGACAAAATTTAAGATGTTATACTTCAGTACTTTGTGAATGAAGCTCTAAAAAAACAACACAACTGTCTTTCTATCGGCTTCATGATATAGCAGAGCAATTGCTACATCTACAATGCCTTGTTTCGGCAGGTCCACATAACAGCAGGGTCGCTTTTATATGTCAAGCGGTATATAAATAGTCTTCATAAATAAAAGTAAAGATTGCTTTATCCAGAGTCATGAAAAAGGAACATTTGTAGCATTTGCATACATGAAAATGGACGTAGAAGGAAATGTACAGTGGTACCTCGGTTTATGAACTTAATCTGTTCCAGAAGTCTGTTCTTAAACCAAAGCCATTCTTAAACTGAGGCATGCTTTCCCTAATGAGGCCTCCCACTGCCAGTGCCCTTCCACTGTTCGGCTTCCATTCGTAGACCGAGGTAAAGTTCGCTAACCGGAACACCACTTCTGGTTTTGTGAAGCTCTTATACAGAATAGTTCACAAACAGGGCTGTTCTTAAACTGAGGTACCACTGTACATAGAAAAATAGCATGTCTGAAATGGTTATCAGGTAGGGCTAACTGATCTCCAGAAACATTTACTGATTCTCTGCTGATTCTCCTTTCCCTTTTCTTTGTCATGTCAAATGTACAATATACGATATATATTTCATGATCAATGTTGCAACTTGCGAGTGTGTGCTGCCTAAACATTCTACGTTATCCAGTTCAGAAACCTCAGGAGGACCTGGCATTGTGGGACAGGAAGAGCATCATCTCAACTACGGAATCATTTTGCATTTCCATAACTGTTTCGAATCAAACAGGCACTGCGAGTGCTTTAAATTGTGCCTGTCTGCTGTCGGTAGATCTTTCATTCTAAAAGCAGTCGGGCTCAGGCAGTGAAGGAAGCCTGTGAAAAACAAAAACAGTGTAAGAGGTTCTAAGCAACTCTCTCACATCCCCGTTTACTTATTTTCCTTTTAGTTAACTCTGGCCTAGGAGTTTGTGCATCTTTGTATTAAATTGCAGCCGCTGTGTTCGATCATAGCTTTGGAATGCAGTCTGTATACTCCGAAGGCCAAATGACGGACTCTTGCCAGTTGGGTATAAGTGCTCCTTTCCCTCTCTTCCTTTATTAATGGATGGAAGAGATTATTTTCTCTGTGTTAACACATACACATACACAATCCTTAACATTAAAAGCATAAGAAATATCTAAAGTTCCGTTCCCCACCCTCGAGTCTCTCCCCCCCCCCCAAAAAAAAAGAATGTAGGATGCTTTATATTGTTTCAGACTGTATTCTTAGTGTGAATTACCTCAATACTTATTGCTGGTGGTGCAGTGGGACATTTGTCTGCCAGCTAATTAGGAATCACTTGGATAAAATGTTGGAATATATTTTAAGGACAACTTTCTGCACTCCGAAGCCAACAGGAAACTCTCACTGATTTTTTTAAAATAATCCTTGAGTCAGATGATCTAGACTCAGTTTGCTGATAAACTATATTGAATTTGTGGAACTTCTGCCATCACATGAGCTCTCAAAAGAACAGAGCAAGATCAATTTTCTTCTGCGCCAGCAAATAACTGTTGTGACCAATAAACACATAGCAACAGCCCAAGTTATATATTTCAAACTCCTACTGGTACCAATTGGAGACTTAAGCTGCAATTCTCTCTGCAGTTTCCTGAGAATAAACCCCAGTGAAGACAGTGGGGCATGCATCTGAGTAAACATGCCTAGAACTCTGCTGCTTATCACTCCCACTGAAACCAACAGGATTGATCAGAGCCTAGTTTTGACTGCACACAAACCTTATAGCCAGCAGCAAATTACAAAGCACCAAGCATAGGCAGAGTCCTATAAATTAATCACCGTTGTGAGTTTCTATACCAAACCACACTGATGCTTTATAAGGGCTTTTGTAAACAATCAGTGAAAACATCCCCCAATTACCTTTAAATTAGAGTTTATGCTTTTTTTTTTAGCTTTTTAGCTTTTTTTCAAAGGAAAACCCAGAAGTTTGTGCATCTTAGACAAACCCCAAAGTTGTTGTCAATGGCAGGTGTGTGAGTCCTAATATAATTCATGGGGAGAAGGGACAGAAGCTTGGCTGCAGCAGATACTAGACCACTATTTCATGACTTAAACAAAACCCACTGACTAAATCTCCCTCTCTCTCCCTCTCTCTCCCCCCTCTTGTGTGTGTGTGTGCTGACGTCCTGAAAAGCAGAGTGCATAGTCTTCAAAGAGCTAAACCCCAAAATTTCTCAAAATGGCATGAGCTTGAGAGTGGAATGGTTGTGTTTCTTGTCACTAATCAGGACTCCATCTGCACTATAGATTTAAAGCAGTCTCATACCACTTTAAGCAGTCATAGCTTATCAGGGGAACTGTAATTTGTAAAGGGTGCTGAGAAAAGAGACTCCTACTCCCCTTGCAGAAAAAAAATATTATTTATTGAATTTATATACCCTTTAAACAATCCCTCTGGAAATTGTACCTCTGTGAGGGGAATGATGGCATGAAGGCTTAGTGGTGCTGCAGTTGGGGCTGAGCAGGTGTACCAGCTGAGCCAATCCAGCTCTCTTGCCAGTGCGTCCACCCAATCACAGTGTCCCCACAGCTCTGTCCAGGTAAGCGGCAGTGATTCCAGAGTCAGGAGGGTGGAGTTGCCCTAACTCACCAGCCGCTTCTGGTTTCACTCCAGCTCCCATCAGCCTGACCATTGGCCACAGGGGCTGGGACAAAGGGGAATTAGGAGTTTACAACATCTGAAGAGCCCACAGGTACAGTAGCTAAAATGAGAACAGTCAACAAAGGCAGTGACCAGAACAATGTGTGTGTTATTCTGAACTTGCATTGTGTTAAACATCTTTCTTTCTTTCTCCTGTGTTTCAGGATTGATGGTAAGCCTTCTGGGACTACAGAATTGGAAGAGGATGAAGGCTTTAGCGATTGGTCCCAGAAACTTGAGCAGCGCAAGCAGAGATGGGCAGGGGAAGGAGTGCCGGAAGCAGAGCAGACATGCCAGGGAGACTGGAGAGAAGCCCAGCCGGTGGCACCTGCATGCTGTGAAGAAAGGTAGAGATGCTTTTTTGTTCCTCCAAAAGACGTGGCAAACTCTTACGCACAAACCAGAAGAACTGGTGTTGAACCAGAGACACCAGAAGAATTGTAACAATTCTGTGCAGGTGAACTTAAGAAGTAAGGCCCACCAATTGAATGGGGCTTACTTCTAGGTAAGGGGATGTAGCCTGGCCACTCTCAGGACAAAACGATCCGATTTACTGCAAGCCATTTCCGTTATCAAGAAATTTTCCAGCCCAGGCAGATTTTTATTTGACATTCCTGCATTAGTTCCACTGAGTAAACACATGTATGGTGGGTTTATTGTTTGCTTAAAAAAATATATATGACTGGGGTATGTAGGCTGTTTCAGCTGGGAGAGAGAAAATATGGAACACCTGCAGCAGGACAGTGCAAAGGAAAGGAAAGGGAGGGTGTGTCCTGAAAACCTTAATTAGGAAAACACATTTAGGTGAGATGATTCTGCTTCGCTTCCTGTTTTCCTGGAGGCTGAGGGAGAGCCACAGCTCCAGTGTAAGTAGACTCTTGATAGTGGGCCTTTTACCAGACTCTGGGTGGAATTTAGAGTGAAATCTTTCTCTTGTGTCCTTTAAAAGAGTTGCTCCAGACTCTGAAGTGCATTGTGAGGTTTCATTATATCTGTTGTGGGCCATATGTACTCTGAGAAGCTATCACTGCCTTAACATGGGGAGACTATAAATTCTTTGTAAACTTCCGGGGAATTTGTTCTTTCTAACTGTTGGTTAGCTTTCCCCAGTGGATTTTAGGATTGTTAGGGTTATTGGGCCTTGGGGGGAGTCCACAGAAGGATATACATAGAGATCTCCTACTTGCGAGTTGAGAGTAGGCTTCATATCACAGGGAGCTTCCCAAGAGTAGAATGCCAAATGGACTTGGGTGCTATTTGGTCACAAATAGGAGGTTGCTAACTCTGTAACTGGCTTTTGGCATGTGCCTCTTAACGCCAGCTTAATGTGCTGACCTTAAGCTGGTTGCCTCAACTCAAAAATGATATTGTGGAGTTGGAAAAGTCCATCAATGGCTACCAGCCACAGTGACTGTTTTGCCTCCACACGCAGAGGCAGTAATGCTTCTGAATGCCAGCTGCTGAAAACAAAAGGAGGGGCGAGTGCCGTTTTGCTCAGATCCTGGTTGCAGGATCTCATAGGCATCTGGATGCCTACTGTGAGAATAGAGTGCTGGACTAGATGGGTCATTGGCCTGATCCAGCAGGCTGCTCTTATGCTCTTATGATGAGGCTTTTTTCTGTCCTTTCAAAAGCTTCATCTGATCCTGCCAGCTCTCATCTTACTTGGTTGGCAACCCTATACAAACACAATATTGTTGGTTCTACGTTGGTTTGGGGTGGTGTTTAGGAACATGGCCCCACATTTTAACAGAATTATAAACCAGCATGCACATTTTTATTTTCACTGCATTGGGGGGTACCTTATAAGTAATGAATGCAGTGCTCATCTTTATACAGCATTCGTCATCCCCCCGCCCTGTGTGGAGATTCCCGGTACATCACAGATGCACCTGGGGCCTTCTGAATGCAAAGCAGGTCCTCTGCCACAGAGCTGTGGTTTCCCCAAAGTGACTTTGGAATTAAAGTTACTGTGATTGGTGAGGTAAAGCATGGAGGAGAATGGATGCTGCCTATACGACTACTGTGTATATGAAACATAGTGAGAAGTGCATGCCAAGAAAAGTGTGGAAATTCAGTTGCAATTTTCTTAGCAATTTTGCATAGCAGAAAAGCAATGAGTAGCATGCTGAGAGGCACCTGGGGTGAGCAATGCTTTATAATTGATTATGCATAAGCATAGGGCCTATAGGTAAGCCTTGGGTACTTTTTACTGCCAACAGGACTCCTTGCCTAAGGAAGAAATGATGTTTTAATGGTTTACATTTCTAGCATTTTGTTTATGGTTAATATCTGGTTCCAAATTCACATAAATGAAAATATGGATTTACCTTGTGTTCCATGTGAAATGCAGGGAGGGGTTGCCAGAACTACAACCAGCATTTATTGGGTTAATTTGGAATGCCTGTCCACCTTCCATGCTCATACTTTGCATGGCTTTAGTAGGAACATCTGCTCTGCCTCAGAGCCCAGCAATGGAACTGTGTAAACACAACTTCTCGTGGTGCCTACACACATTCCCATATGTTTTTGGTATGGACATTGTGGGTCAGTGGAAGGTTAAATCAACTTCAGCTTGGCATTTACATCCAGGAGAGTCATAATATAGACAAGCGCCGCCATGCAATAGTGCTTGGGTTTAGGAGATGAAGAGGAAAGAGGATTGAAGGGAAAAGATACATGATGCTGAGGTTCTGTGGGGTTTTTCCTTGAGGGATTTTGAGTGCAACTGTGACCCAGAGGTCAAGCATCCTCTCCCCCAGTACTACTGCTGCCATCAAACTTGCAACCTGACATTTCTCCCCTGCCACCACCACAAAAGGCAGGATATGGATAGCAAAGCTGCACATGTCATTTCCCCCTTGTTTTTCATCGAAGGACCATAAAGCAGGGGGTATCTTTGCTCTGAGATGTATTGCACAAGTATCCTACCAGTAACACGAATAACTTCTTCTTCACCAGATTCTGGTTATTCTGAATGCCCTCATCTATTTTGCCCTGGGTTTTTCAGATATAGTAGTTCCTTGTTTTGAACTATATATCAGGAGCACCACTGGACTCGCTGTCTTTACTTTTGATACAGGACAGTTTAGAACCTGGTAGAGTCAGCTTGCTCAGTCTAACCATTAGGCAGAGGGAGACAATTGCACCAGGCAGCAATTTTTGAAGACTCTCAGTGACATTGTGTTTCACTTGCATTTGGGTGTCAAGGTGGCTTGGGCTAAATCTGGAATGTAGACTTTGTTAACAGAATACAAGGCTCCCATATATGTGTTGTGCTGGGTGCTCCACAAAGCCTTCCCCCTATATATACTCTCCCATTCTGGCCCCTACTTCTGGGGAGTAGTAAGGAAACGCAAACAAGTGTCTCACCATATTAATGATTATGTGGCAACTCATTGGCACAATGCCGTATTTTGTTTTTCACATAGAAGTCAAATTGGTGGCATCATTTGAACTAGTAGACTTCCTTTCCTGTGAATATTGTAACTCTGCTCATCTTAAAGATATTAAAAGCGGGTGCTTGGCTTTTAAAAGAAAAGGAAGTTAACTGATACTTTTGTCCTTTTCTCTTATCCTTTCCTCCCATTGCCAATTTTCAGTCCTAGGTCACCAAGGCGTTCCTATGAGGAAGAAGAAGGCAATCTGATGGAAGCAGAAGCCAAGCTAGGGCAGATTCACCTGGATCAGGAGTCTCCCATCTTCATCCGGTTCGCACCTGGGCCGTCAAACTTCCTCAAGTTTTCCTCTGGTTCCATCTCACAAGATCAGCCTGAAGAAGAAGCAGAGCTGGATCAGCAGCAAAAACTTAACGAAGATGTGGGTATCAGAGAAGAGAATGAGGATGTCAGAGAGGAGCTCCAAGATGTCGAAGAGGAGCCACAGCATGTCGCAGAAGAGAATCGGCATGAAGAAGAGAAAAAATGCAAGAGGTCAGATGTGTTCTGTCATCATATGTCTACAAATTAGTAGGCTAAAACCAAAACGGAGGCAACAGGACCGCAAGGAAATGGGCAAAATAAGGACATAAAGAAAGACAAAAATCTGCTTGGAAACTTTTGTTGGCCCTCGGTGTCTTGTAGCTGTACACACTACTGCTGTTGTCACTGCAAGTTATGGGGATGGGATGACGTCAACTATGAAGTTCAATATTACCTTGAGAGAATGGGAAACTCATCTGAATATGACAAAAATAATTTCAACAGACACAAATGCAAAGTTACGCATTGAGGCAAAAAATAAAATAAAAATGAAATTCACAGATATAGGATGGGGGAATATCTGGTTAGGTAGCAGGCCATGTGGAAAGGGTCTGAGGAGCGCAGTTGACTACAACTGTTGTTGAATCAGCAGCATGATGTGCCTGCAAAAAAGGGGGAGGGCTAATGTAATTTTAGGCTGCAATAATAGAACTGTAATATTGATATCCTGGGAAATTCTTCACTAGTCAGAGGTCATCTGTCTGGACCACTGTGTCCAGTTCTGCACTTGAAGAAGGGAGTAGGACAACTGGAAAAGCAGAGAAGGTAGTTAGGGGTGTGGAAAACAACTCCTAGAGGAAATGTTGCACAAGCTCTTTTTGCTGAATTGCCACCAATTCTTTCTCTTTAGGAGAAGAAAAGGAGAAGGAATGAGGAGGAAGAGGCACCAGAAAAACGGCAAAGAACTCCAAGCACTTCCAGCCAAGAGGAAGAATCTCAGCCACCTTCAAGCCCTACGGTAAAGGTATGCATCATAATCCTTAGGTAGGAGGACACTGGAAATCCCAGTAAACAAAGGTTGGGTCTCCCTCCCAGCTCCCCCCCCCCATTTGGGGGACTATACAGTGGTACCTCGGGTTACATATGCTTCAGGTTACATACGCTTCAGGTTACAGACTCCGCTAACCCAGAAATAGTACCTTTGGTTAAGAACTTTGCTTCAGGATGAGAACAGAAATTGTGCAGCAGCAGCAGGAAGCCCCATTAGCTAAAGTGGTGCTTCAGGTTAAGAACGGTTTCAGGTTAAGCACGGACCTCCGGAACAAATTAAGTATGTAACCAGAGGTACCACTGTACAATGACCTAGAAGAGCAGAAGGGTACAGAACTGTGCAAATCAGGTGGGAGAAAGGCAGTCATTACACTTTTTTCTTCTCTTTTCCCAGCCTTAGCTTGGCATTTTGGGGTGGAAGCAGGAAGGTTGTATCTATCTTCTAGACCACTGACTAAGCTGGTGTGTTGTCGTTTCTTATTTAGATCGTTGAAAGAACTGAATCCCTGAACCGCTCCATACAGAAAAGGTAACTTCCACCCGAGGATTGAATGTTCTTAAGTTATGCAATGTTGATGCTGTGTTTCACAGGTTAAAGGCAACTATGCTGAAAGTAATAATAATAGCAATTTATTATTTATACCCTGCCCATCTCATCTGGCTGGGTTTCCCCAGCCACTCTGGGCGGCTCCCAACAGAATATTAAAAACACAATAAAACATCAAACATTAAATACTTCCCCAAACAGGGTTGCCTGTTTTACTTACTTCCCGTGTTACATGCTGCCTTTCAGAGCAAAGTCATCCCAATGTAGCTTCTATGAATAGCAAAATAAAACTATAAAAACAACCTAATTATATTTGCAAAATTAAAAGCAGCAGTTTAAAATGATATATAACCCAAGCCGTTAAAAGTAGATTGAAATAATTACAACAAATTGAGGTCCCTTTAAAAGCTAATAAATATGGGGATGGTGGGGCCATAGTCTATATTATTACTATCTGTAGATCAAACTTCTCAGGCATATTGGGCCACCACTGAAACAGCCTGATCAGAAGTGCCCACAAATCTAATTAATCCTGACATTTGGCCTGCATGCAGGATCTCTGAGGGTGATCTTAAGGCCTAGGCAGGTTCAAGTGGGTGCTGTGGGGTCCTTCACAACACCTGGCCCCAAACCATCTATTCTTCTTGATACTGAGGGCAAAGAATTGGGCTGGTATCTCTTTCTTGGGCATAACACTTAAAACTTGCTCAGACTTGTGCTTCTTTATTCAGACAAAGAACTGAAACTTGGTTAGATATTTAGCCAAAAAGACTGGCCCCAAACCAGGATGTGCAACTAAAGTTTGTGCTAGACCAGGTTGAATACTGGTATAGTTCACATATCACACTAAGCTAAATCATGTGCAGGTTCCTAGGGCAGAGATTATGGCCACTTTGCTCTTGCTGAGTAGTTCTGCTCCTGCACTGAGCAGGTTAGTCTTGGTCATTCCAACCCAGACTAACGACAGACTGTAACCAAGATTTGTCCTATCGCTTATGGCTTGTCTGTGAGATCTATACTATAAGGAGAAACAAAACCATTCAGGAGGAGCAGAACAGCCTTGATCTCTTCACTAGGAACCCACACATTCTCACTAAAGCAGAGTTTGGCTTGGTATGACGTGTGAGCCAGGCCACTATTTACCATGAACAAACCATGGTTAAACTTTGGTTCAGGCAATCTCCCCAGTCTTTCTGCTTGCACAATGACAAGCAGGTATTACTGGTGTCTCCTTTATACAAGTCCTCTGCAGGGTCAGAACTTATTGAGCAAGCTAAACCATGGTTTCCTTGAATTCTCAGGATCTTAACCCAGGGTTACTGCAACAAATCATGGTTAAGTATTTTCTTCAATTAGTTCTTATTGTATTCCAAAAATAACTGGCAAGTGGGAAGATGGCGCTATGAACATGTTGGGCTGGATTAGCTTTGAAATGCCCAGGTTTGCGAGAAATCCTCTTTCCATTGGTCTCTTCTGTTCTCCTTCCAGTAACAGTGTGAAGAAGACACAGCCACCTCTTCCAGTTTCAAAGATTGATGACAAACTTGAACAGTATACTCATGCCATTGAGGTAAGGTGAAGCTCCTTGACTCTGTTAAGGAAGTTGCCCAAAACTCTGCTGAGGGTGCAGGCTGGTTTCCTTCCACTCCTGATTGAGTTAGGGAATGTGTTAATTGCTTTGAAGAACCTACCTTGATTGGCTCTAAATGGATGGCAAGCTGGTTAGGTACTTCTGCTGTTGCACATAATAGGATTAAGATGCTGGCATCTCTGAAGATGTCATGTTTTCTGTGGCAAGCAAAGTCCTATGTGTGATGCTGTGCATGTGCTACCAGCTTGGTGTAGGCTAGGAATCAGCATGTGAAGGTGCTTCCTCTGCCCTCCTATCCAGTTATCTCATGTGTGGGTTGTGGCTGACTTCTGTTGGGCCTAATGAGATGCTTTCTTGTTACAATGCTCTGTTGCACCTCTACTGTAGGATGGGAAACCTGTACTGCATGAGAATTACATAACCCTCCTGCAGCCAAGCTGGTGCCAGATGTATCGCTCTGCTTTCCTTTGGACCACAAACTCTGAGCAGCCCAGGACCTCCATGCATACTGCTCAGCCTTGCACCTTGGGGAGGTTGCTTTGGTGCTACTAATGTAGCAGTTTGACTTCACCCCTGGTGGTGCACTCCATTGTCCATTGAGACAGACAACATCTGCCCTAACCATTGGCCGTGGAGACTGAGTCTGCCTATTCCTGCCTTGCTGGCTACAGATTTTCCACCCTTGTCTTACCATCTATAGTATAGTTTGGCTGGCTGGTTTGGGTGTGTGTTTTCATTATGTGAGTCTCTGAAATGAAGGCAGTGTCTGCACTAGAGGTGTTTAGGAGCTGCCCTGCACCCTGCCTGTCTGTCCTACCATCAGCAGGAGCTCTGTTGGCACAAAGTGGTTGTGCATTGCAATTCCTGTCTTTGAGAGGAACACATCCACCTTCTATTAGAGCTTACTTAAGCAGGAGCATCACTGCGATGCAGATTCTGCCTCATGTAGGTACCTGGAGATGAGAGTCAATTGGATGTGTTTAGAAAGAGCCCGATACACGATTGTAAAAGAGGTGAATTAGTTCAGAGTAAGAAGCTCTTTCAAATTTACATATGTCCCTTCCAGACGTCCATCAAGTCTCCGAAGCCAGTGCGTCAGCTTTCCATTGACCTGCCTTCCACTAGTGCTGCGGTGGCCAGCACGAAAAGCCTCTGGGAGACGGGGGAAGTGGCTCAAACTTCTGTGAAGACAACCCCCTGTAAGGTAGGGCTTCTGTTGTGCTTTGTGTTTAAAGAGCCTACTGTTGGTAAAGGTTGATGCTGTTATAGAAAAAATGAAAATGCACCTTATTGCAGGAAGCATTTACATGGACATGATTTAATGTGCAAAAATGCACTCAATCAAATGGGGTCAGAATATAGGGCTCCCATACTGATACATTGCATAAAAGTTCTGTCGTTCTAGTAAAGCCTCTTGCATGGAGGTGCCTGTGGTAAATGTTGACACCTAGGTTGTTATACAGGCTCCCAGTACACTTCTGAGCACAATTCAAGTGTTGGTGCTGACCTTTAAAGCCCTAAATGTCTTTGGCCCAGTGTACCTGAAGGAGCGTCTCCACCCCCATTGTTCAGCGCAGACAGAAGTCTAGCTCTGAGGGCCTTCTGGCAGTTCCCTCACTGCAAGAAGTGAATTTACGGGGAACCAGGCAAAGGGCCTTCTCGGTAGTGGTGCCCACCCTGTGGAATGCCCTCCTGTCAGATGTGAAACCAGTAAGCAACTACACAACTTTAAGAAGACATCTGAAGGCATCCCTGTATCAGGAAATGTTTAATGTTTGACATTTGCTGTGTTTTTATTATGCTGGAAGCTGCCCAGAGTGTCTGGTGCAACCCAGTCAGATGGGTGGGGTATAAATAAAAGCACCATCATCATTATCAAATGAGCTGGAAGAAAAGCAGCTCAAAATCCTACCACTGTGTCCATGCTTTTTACTAGGACATTGTGGCTGGAGACATTGTGAATAAGAGAAGCCTGTGGGAGCAGAAAGAGAGCCCAAGGACAGATGAAAATGTCAAGGTGAGAGATCCACTTGTTTTTGGAGATACTCGGGGTTTAAACTGGTGAAGAGAATCTTGGGGGCAACCTGGAGCCTGCGTGGCTGCTCCTTTGGAAAGGCATTGCTTATTCATATGGTGCTATACTAAATGTTGAATTTCCTTTTAATATTGCTTCTTGCAAATTGTGGGAAAGCAGTGCCTCAGCAGCATGAAAGGGCTCTAGCAGGGAAACACTCTGGAATAATCACCTATAAATGGAAACGTGTATGGCGTCTTTAACACCTTTGGGTCGCTAACAGTTCAAGTGCTCTTTCAGGGCTCTTACTTAACACTACTTTTTGACATGAGCTCATCTGTGGCAGGATGACCATCTGTGTACAGTTTCACTTCTCCTATAACTTGCTTTTTTACAATAAAAATCCCCTTACTCCCTCCTCGGGTGTAAAAGCAGAAGTGGAATAACTGGATCAAAGTCAGACCACTTTGAAAATACTGAAAGTTGGATAAGCAGGCAAAACACTTGGAAAGCAGGAAAGCAGGCGGTGTGGGAAGAGGAGTAAGTACTTTAGCCTCTGAAGCTTCTTCCGTTTCCTCCCCTCACGTTTAGCTTCCTCAGAAGCTTCCTGGCAAGAAGTACAAGTACGTGGCAACAGGGCACGGCCAATACAAAAAGGTCTTGATAGAAGATGGGGCAACGGAAAAATAGCCTGCTTTGGCACCAAAACACACAGGTAGGTACAATGGGCCACGCAACAGATTAACTACTAGTGATTTTTTTCCTCAGTGCTTGAAAGACCACCTTGCATGCAATACTTTAGTAATTTTCACATAATTTACCGTTGCCATATTACAGGTGGCGAGTGAAGCAGAGCAATATGGGAGGGTGTTGTAAGTGACCCCTTTTACTTCAAACTCACTCGCTTTACTGGTTCTCATCCAATCTGAAACTGACTTGGGTACACACAGCTGCTTGTGCACCATTCTTAAGTGACTCTGTCTTGAGCCACAGTGACATTATCTCTTCTGCATGTAGGGAGAAGGATTTCTCTGGTAGCCGTGGAAAGCCTTATGTCTCTCGGGCAGCAATGCCATGGCATTTATTTAGTCATGAAAGACAGCACTTACTTTTTTCTCCATAGAAACACTTTATTCAATCTATATATACAAAGGTAATTAAAAAATAAAGCCTTGATTCAGGTAGCTGGGTTTTGCAGGAACTGCCTCTAGAAGGTACAGACAATGCAAAGCTGTGGAAGGAAGTCTTAAAAAGGTTTCCATCGGAGTCTTGTGAAGGATTGTAGTGTGAACTATAGGCTCAGAAAAAGCCCCACAGAGGCAGCATCTTACCAAATTACTTTCCCCCTTCTTACTACATCCTACCTGACACTTCTGTTTCCAAATATGCCTGCTTCCTTTTTACTTAACACTTTTCTGTGTTCCATATTAAGACTTTACTTTTCTGTGTTCCTGATATGCCTACGTACTTTCTTGGTTCAAAATCCCCTTGTGTCTAAACTATCATTGGAAAAAGAGCATTTATAAAGACTGACTCAAACTGAACTTTGACTTTCACATCCACTTTTGAAGGGCAGCTAATACCCAAGACAGCTCACAACCTATTTATCGGTTTGTGCATTACCCTTTATGTCTTCGCGTGCATTACCCTTTACGTCTGAAAGACCTCATAATTCTCCAAAGCTTGGCTTATTTCCTGGTTCTGTAATGAAGCACACAATGCCTTCTGATCCTTCTCTTTACTCATGCATTAAAGCTCCTTTCCTTAAAGGTGGCTGTAGGGATTTTGGGTCCCACAGCTCAAAATTAAAACGCAGGAAGTTTCCACCTATGAGCCATATTGTGTTTTAAGAGCAGGATGACTCAATATGAACACTGCTCGTGTTAGTGGAGCACACTAACTGGGAAGGAAAACATACCTGTCAGCCCGATGTTGGCTCTGCAACCGGGTGAGGAGGAAAGGGCCCTTCATGCTTGTTGCAGAATCCTTACTCTTAAAGGCTGCTGAAAATAGGAGGGAGGTGACCAGAACGTAGCCAGAATCGCCAACTTTTGGCAACTGAGGTTCTTCCAAGGATCATTCACCCTGTGCAAAGGATTGAACTTTACAGCTGTTTTTGCATATGGCAGGGGAGAATTAAGCTAGCTAACCCTTTCTTCTTTAAAAAAAGAAAAAGGCAAGTGCCCTTATTCCATCACTAGTGCCATATCTTATCCACCATCCTTTTTACTCTTGGCAACATTCCCTATTGGCAACTCTTGGGCAGGCAAAGTGGAAGTGCATTTCAATCCTACTAAGAAAGACCCATTGAATCTTCCCTAAGAAGAGATTCCAGAACTTTTGCTTGTCGCCAGAGCTATCTTTCAAAGCCTTAACTGCATATGGTGCTCAGCAATATATACACTGTATCCAACACTTTTTATTTTTCAAAATGCAGTCGTGGAGGGGCCCATGCTATTTTGGGGTCGAAAATTCTCCTGTCTCCTAATCTACTTTTTGATTTACAGGGGAAAAGATATGGGTGCCTATATCTACATTGTGGGGCAAAGGTGGCATAAGAGGAAATAATTATGAAGCCGCCTCCTCCCTCCTCCTCGTCTTCTGGCTTTAGATTGCAGCTTCTGTGGTGGCATTTTTTTAAAAAAAGATGTGTTGGGGACAAGTTACACATGACTGAACTTAAATGTTTGGGCTTTTGTTTGCTGCCACTGAAAAGCAGAACATTAGATGACTGCACTCTATGATAAAGCACAAGAAACTGTACAGGAGCTACAGAACTATTAGAAATCACTATTCACTTCACACTTTTCAGAACCATTAGTGCAAAAATAAAAGCTTAAGGGTGCAACTGTGTGGCTATAAAATGGCAATGAAACTCAACACCTCATCTTTTAGGCAACCATCCTAGCGAACCTGAGCTTGGAGCACCCCTGGAAGGAGCTGGGCCTTATAGTTCCCTTTACACTTAGGAGAATTCAGGCAGCTGACTCCTTTGAGCTCTCTTGCAAATTCCATCTGAAATGCTTAAATGGTTACACTTGCACTGGGAAGAACACACTCCTTAGAGCCATAGTGTCTGCATTGGTGATGCTGCTGTGGTAAGTTTGCGATTTGCTGTGGCAGCAATGCCTCAACTGAATGGCAGTATTAAGCAGTGTGATGGGTCCTTGTGGACACTATGGGGAATTTGTTTTGGTACATGGTACAAGTGTGGGGGTGGGTAGAATATGACCCCCCCCCAAAAAAAGCTCTGAGGCTGCAGCACAAGGTCATCCCAAAACAGACTGCCCCAAGTATTCTGCTAGAACTGCTTTAAAATAGCAGACAAAAGCTCTAAAGCTGGTATGGGAACTGCAAAAAAGAAGCATGAGTGAGAGCAAGGAACAGCAATCTGTGCTCCTGATCATGCTCCCAGTCCAAAGGGCCACATTAGCATCCTAGGGTCCAGAACTGACTGGATCATTCCCTGCTAAAATGCTGGGGTTAAGCAAACAAAACTCCAAACCAATAACTATGTATACTCTTTCGAGCAGATACTGCATTAAGCAACTCACTTGATTCTCAGTGCAAACAATCCACTCCCAATCCATGATTGTGTGCTCATGTGAGGAAATCAGAGTGTGAATTGGGTGCTACATGGATCCTAAATTAGTTGGAACAAAGTGTCATGTACCCCAGTGGTGGAAATTGCTGTATACCTTTTCCACGTGTGTAGACATGTGGCAAATGACAGTTTGGCTGTACTTTGGGGTAGAGGAACATGGCTGTGAATTGGCCTTAAGTGCGAATCAGCAGCAGTGCACTTGGATTGTGGAGGACTTCAGCCCACCACCTTCTCAAGGTTGCTTTCAGTACTTGCATCCTGCAAATACTGTATCTGTAGCAAAAGTGACCAGAAGTGCTTTTAATGCCAGGGTGGGCATGCTTGGTTGTAGTCATGTATGAGTTGCATGACTCCCTGGCTGATTTTTGTGCTGTATCTATAGCCATATTCTCTTGGTAAATGCAAAAATGGAAGCAGCCCTAGAGTGAGCTGGTTAAGATCTATTGGAGGAAGATGTACAAAGCTAAAGTCCTTCTGTGCCCTTGCACAGTGGGCTTACTGCTAGCTTAGTAGTGCTGTCCTGGAAATAAATCATGGAAGTTGGCAGCCAATGCACTTTTACTTGCCTGGCTGCCCAAGTATAAAAACAATACCTTTTGTCACAAATCTCCCTAACCTGGTTATCTCAAGGCAATGAGAAAACTGTGAGTGACCTTTTACAAGCTAGGCTCAGTATGACAAATGATGGCAGAGTATTTTTTATTATTTATTCCTGTAGTATATAACATATTTTGTCTCATACTGTGCCACTTCCTAGTGGACAAGGATCTTGACATGGTCATCTTATGTCTCAGCTAACACCACAAATGGATCTATTGCAATGTATTTTGCATGGCCTCACCCTTGAAGAGTGTGTAGAACCTGCAGCTGCTGTGGAATGCCCCTGCCCACTTCTGGGGCTCAGGGAAGACATTACAGACCAGTTCTGGTGGGATCTACACCGCCTGCCTGTGAGAATGCAATTCATGGTGCTGGTTCTGACCTGAGAATCTCTGAATGTCTTGGATCCTTGGGTGTCTTAAGGAGACCCTGTTTATATGAACTTGCCAGTGCCATTAGGATCTGCAAGGGAGGCTGTTGAGATCAGTGTTTGAGAGGCTGAATCTATGAATGGGCAGAGCAGAGCAGAGCACAATTCCAGGTAATGGAATTATGAAATGCAGTCTCTGAGGAGGGCTGCCAGGCAACATCATTCTGTGTATCAGTCCTTTGTAATCTCCAGGACTTTGGGCTCTGAATCTAGTTTGAACTCCTTGTGATGGGTTTGAGTGTATTTTGCCTAAAGACTATATGGCAGCCTTAAACGCACATTGCTGAGTGCTGCCTTGTTATTAAGAAATGTTATACAGTTGATTCAACTGTATAAAACTGCCTTTGAGAGCCTTTAAAACTATTGGTCTTTGCTTTTAATTTGCTGTTCAACTTGAAACTGAATGCCTTATGAAAATAAGACTTGAGGGGAAAGAGGTGTTCACCTCATGTTCCTTTCTCACTTGCTTATGGTCACTACATGCAGGTACACAAATAGCAACCCTGTGACGGATTTTATTAATTTTCCTATTGCGCGATTCCTCCTTTTGGCAAACTCATGTATTTATTTCAGCTCCTCCCAGCTCAGGATGCATCCTCCAAAAGAAGCCTTGAAGGGGAATGCAGATTCATTCATTGCTTCCCTTCAAGTTGCCACCCCGATGCAGCCCTGTTGAAACTCATCAGTGCTTCGGGCGGCTGGCCTTGGATTCGGCGCACCTCAAACAGGGTAGTGATCTTTGTCATGGGTTTGGAAGCCAGCTCTTTCAGCTTCCGGGCGTCAAAGCGCGGCCTGTGGAGGAGAAGGGGCAGACGCCGCCGGAACGAGAACGTTCCTTCTCTCCTGACTTCCTTTTCCTCTGCTGCCTGCTTCTTCTCTTTGCTGACGGTCATCTGATACAGGATGGCATCCCACATCTTGACAGCTCTGGACTTGGTTGCTCTCTGACCAGGGCCCTCTTGAGAGGCTTCTGTTGCCTTCTTTTCTCCCACCTGATCAGGCTTGGCTGGCTCGGCCTCTGAGACTGGAAACTGGGGCTCTTCCGACTCCACGACCAGGTGCTTTTTGAGGCGAGACCAGCCACTAAGTTTGCTTCTGGGAGGGACTGGTGGCTTAGGCTTTGGTAGGGGGCCTGCAGTGCTTGGAGAAACCGCAGGTGCCTGTGGCAATACAGTCTGCTTGTCAGCCCTGTTTTCTGGCGAGAGAGCAGGGGTGCCAACAGCTGGTGGAGCAGATGTAACTACCTCTGGCATGGTGGGCTTCTGAGGGGCGCTGGGACTTGGCTGCCTCTGGGCCTCGCCGTGTGGTTCAAGGCCTCTGTTGCTTCCTGGAGTCACAGGCCTTGGGAACTGAGGAGTTGGGGATGTGACCACTATGTGCTGCCTGGGGACATGCAGTATTGCAGTTTTCACTGTCCTGACGGGAGGCTCAGGGACTGGAGTCATCTCTAGTCTAGGAGTAATTGGCCTGGTTTGGCTTGCAAAGGGTGTGGCTGGCGCCTGGCTTGGTGGCATGTGCAAGTGATTTGTCTGCAAATGGGTAGGTGTGGTGGGCCTCTTGGGAGACTCTGCTGACTGTTCCAACACGGGGGTCTTTGCCTGCGGTGTCTGCATGCTGTGAATGAAGGCGTGTGTTTCGGTAACATGGGTGACTACCGCTGGGGTCTCCACCACCACAGGTGTGGGGGAAACGGGGTGCTCGGGGAAAATGAACACAGAATGTGTGGCACTTGAAGAGGACAAGTGTGAGTGTGTGTCTCCTCTGGGTTGCCACAAAGGCTCAGGGGTGCTCTGTCTGTGAAATGGTGACGGGGAGGGCGAGATGGCGAGTTTGAGATGCTCCGAAATGCTCCTCTGCTCTGCAGCGGTGAACGTGAAGGGTTTTCCTTTAGGGTAAGGAGATGAGACGTGGTGGGTGACAGGCTTGATGGAAAAGCGGGGAGGGAGGTTGATGGTGATGTGCGCTGTGGTTTCTGTAGGCTTCCGCGGGGAGGAGCGGTCATTGTGCTCCAAGTCTGGGCTGGCTTCACTCACAGGGGAGAGGCTGGTCCGGAATGATGCGGCTTGCTGTGCTGATAACGTTGCTTTCTTCTTTGCTGCTTTTTTCAAGAGTCTCTGCAATTTAAGATTGTCCATTCCAGGCTTTGGTAGAATAGGAGGGGGTGGAGCCTGTGAGTGTAGGGAGGCCGGCTCATGGGGTGGTGTCACAGTTATCAGCATCTTGACCCCCTGAAACAAAAAGTGGGTATTTTTCAGTTGGTGATATAAACTTCCTGACTGTTCATTATGATTTTACTCCATAAATGTGCAAATGAGTCTTTACTAATATATGTAGTGAAGACCAAAATATATTCATTAGCCAAGTACTCAAGACTACAAACTGTTTTAAAATCCTGAAGAAACTGGGTGAGAACAATTCTGCTCCACCTCTTCCTGCTTTGGATAATTAAACTGGAACAATGTTGAGACTGGGTCATGTTTTATCACACCAGTGAGCCATCCTAGATCAAACACCCCAGCTAGAACTTCTGAACTGGTTCATGGCACCTGAGAGAACTTGGTTCACACCATCCATCAACTGAAGTGATGCATGTACAAGGCAGGTCATTAAGTATCTGTATGGATTTCAGCAATCTCCCTCATCCCTTTTACCTGTTAGCTTGTGTGAAGGAGGTCTGCATGCAGAAAGGGGTCATGCTGCTGACCCCATTCCTGAGGTCTTGCACCTTCCTTGCCCTGATCTTTTTAATACTTTTTAAGCCATCCTCCCACTTTATATTTGAATGGGGCAGATCTGGGTCAAAAGATGCTGGCTTGCTACTGTCTTATATAGCCTTTATTCAATCTGTGATAACAACATTGATTCCTGACGTGATCCTTTGCATGCTGGCTCCCCCAACTTTGCTACGCTATGAACAGAGAGTCAGCTAAAGGTGAGCTGTGCAACATGAGAGCTTAAGAAAGCTGATGTACAAGCTGCAGGTTCCAGCAATAGATGGTGTTGAGTATCACTCGTAAAAGTTCACTGGGGCTATCGGGTCCTCCGTGCTTCTCCTTGGTGATTCGTGTGCTTATTTCAGCTGCTGTGGTGTGCTAGCCAAAACACATTGCTCAGCTGATAGCAGGTCCTCCGGGAGCTGGAAAGCATCTACCGAGATGGAAAAGCCCTCTTTGCTTATCCTGAGCCTTTGATATGGAGAACAGATGTTTCCACTTCAGGGTACACAAGTGGCTCAAGCAGCATTTTGCCTAGGTTGCATTTTGTCTTTCAGCACAAGCTAATTTCTCCTCTGGAAGGCTGACTTTTTTCTCTCTTACAAAAGGGGCCTAGAAAACGCTGTCTGCAGAACCGTGTCTCCAAGTGTAATTTTAAGGGTGATTTGCACTTGGAATCTTGGGACTGGGAGCTGACTGAAAACATAGCTCTGGTGAATATTTGAACAGCAAACTACCAGTTGGTGGAGCTCACCTTTAACCCAAATGGCAGCACAATATATTTATATTGCACAAATTGCCACATATGTGCATAGGGCTGAAACTCCCAAATGTGGATTTTGGGTTTTCTTGTGGGTCAACATGATTACCCTTAGTTTTTTCTTTTTCAAAAGTAGTTCTTGCATGTTCTGAGGAGTGTGAATTGCTGCTTCTGTAACACTCAAAGAGCTATGTGCCACATTTCTCTCGCCTTGTGCCTCCAGGGCAGGGCCTGCATCAATCACCCTGAAGGAGAGGCATGAGCTCCCTTTTTCAAATACTGCCTGGTGAAAACAGAAACCATGGTTGATTTGTGCTTCCCAGTGGCATAGCGTGGGGGGTGCAGGGGGGGCCGGCCGCACCGGGTGCAACATCTGGGGGGGGCGCGCTCGCCGCCTCCGGAGTCACCGAAAAGCCTCGGGCGCCGGCTGTAGCAGAGCCCCATGTCTCGTGGAACCAACGAGCTGGCAGTGGCTCCGCCGCCGCGGTCCCCGCGCGTCAGGGCCGCGGAGGGCGCGTCAGGCAGCCCCTCCTCACAGCCCCGCCGCCGCCGCTGCTGCTGCTGCAGCTGCTGGGCCATGTTGCATTTTCCTCGCCTCTCTGCCCTCCTCCTCCTCCGGGCAAGCAGCGTCGTTTGGGCGGCAGCGCCAGCAGCAACTCGCCTCAGATCACCTGACACGGACCCGCCGCGGCGGCGGCGGCTTACCTTACCGTAAATACCCCAGCCCAGGCAGCAGCAAGAAGAAGCTGGCAGCGGCGGCAGGTTAGGGGTTAGGGGGCGCAAATTACTTGCCTTGCCCCGGGTTAGGGGGCGCAAATTACTTGCCTTGCCCCGGGTGCTGACAACCCACGCTACGCCACTGGTGCTTCCTCTTTCTCAGGATGCTCAAAATCTTAATCCATCCAAATCCACAAGAAGCAATAAAATGTGGATCCCGTTAAGCTCTTCTGACCATGATATGGAACAGGAGGAAGCATAGCGTATTATGCTAGAGCAGACATGGGCAGACTTCAGGCCTGTGGGATCTGCTTGTGGGATGTTTTTTCCTAGGACCTACACCCCCCCCCCATGCCCACTGCAAAATTGTAGTTTGGGAGCAATGACAATTGCCTACTGCAATTCAAATACACACTCTTGAACCAAATAGACTGCCAGAGAGGGCAAATGGTCAGAGTGGTGCAATCATGATAGACCACTCCAACTCTGCCTTCTCACCACTCAGATATTGCCTGCTGCTATACAGAAAATCTCAGTGGACAAAACAGAGAGAGACAAAGCCTCTCAGATTCATCCAACTAGGTCTCTGTAACACAAATCAGGTCAGCATCCTCATCCAGGATCAAGTCCTGGATAACTTGTTTTGTCACGCACCTACCTGGATTTTTAAAGATGGAGAAGGGACAAATGTTGGACTGTGGGTCCATTTTGGTATATTAATAGGTAGCTGCATATACACCAAATACTATCTCCAAAAATAATTTGAAAGGATATGAGGTCACCTTTAAATGCCTTTTTTGCTTCTTACAAGTCAGTAATAACATAGGAAGTTGGCTTCTCTTCACCTTTATTCCAAATAATAATCCTTACCAGTGCATTTTTTCTAGAAAAATGTTTAGGGGTACTCTCATTTTCCTACTCATATTGAAATACTGCCCCTCAATGAGGCCAAACAATGTTCACAAAATGTTTAGGGGTATGCGTACCCCCAGAAAAAGAGCACTGATCCTTACACTTGCTGACAGGAAGCAAAAACTGGTGGAATGTATCTGCAGGAGAGTTTTTTCAAGGGCACCAATATTTAAAACCTTGGCTGTTCTTCCCCACTCCCCAAGCATGGTGGTTTTATTTGTATCCTGATATCTTCCAATCTATAAAATCCTTATTGTGATTGCTCTGAGAATGTGTTTACATTTTCCACTTCTAACCATGCCAAAACCTTTTCCAGCTCCGAATTTTTGCTTAATATCATTTTTCATGTTTGGAGCCAGGGATGGTAGAAGCTCTCGTTAACCTTTCTTTGGGATCATGTGATGTACTTAGAAATCTGTTGTGGCCCACCGCTCTCTCCTCGCCTGCCTGCACCTCAGTTCCTGCTTTGAATTTTTTGCACATGGCTGAACAATAAGTGCAGGGACCCAGTGGTATTTTGTGTGGTCTTACTGAACAGTCATTTTTATAACTGATCGTGACTGTGCAGCTGAGTAACTTTTCAAGGACCTCTGATAGTTTGGGACACTTGCAAGTTGAAACTTAACTAAAGCAAGAGAAGCGTGAAAAGGCCAGGGATTAACAAGCATTTCCTTGAAGATGGTGCCAAATCACTTTGCTTCTTGCGGGACCTCTACTGTTCTCTGGTGTGTCACTTTATATTTAAGCCTTCAATCAACTGTATACCTCTAGCTTCAGCAGAACAGAATAGCTTCCAAGATGGAAAAGTAATTTGCAATCCCCGAGTCGAATATAGAACCAGCTGTTCAGCTTGGAGAGAAGACTGAGATGTGAGGAAACTTGATACTTGTGCCACAGTTGCTGAACTGCTAAGGTAAAACTGTAGTCCCTCTACTTTTGCGAGGGCTATTATTATGCTTGACCAAGTCTTCTTCATTTTCTCTTGGCTCAAAGAAGAATGGCAGAGCCTGACTGACTGGCATGCACCGCTACCAGTATGGCTTGCTGAAAAATGCATATCTCTCTCCCAGGCACAATAGGTTTTAGACCTCGGTTCACAGGTCTTCATTCTGCATTACTATTACAGTGGTACCTCGGGTTACATACGCTTCAGGTTACCTATGCTTCAGGTTACAGACTCCGCTAACCCAGAAATAGGACCTCTGTTCGCTTCAGGATGAGAACAGAAATTGTGCTCTGGCGGCGCGGCGGCAGCAGAAAGCCTCATTAGCTAAAGTGGTGCTTCAGGTTAAGAACAGTTTCAGGTTAAGAACAGACCTCCAGAACGAATTAAGTACTTAACCCGAGGTACCACTGTATAGCAACAAAAGAAGGGGAGTGTGCTGGTGTTAATCATCCTACAATCTAGTAGAGTAGAGAACTTGTAATAGTGAGCTTCCAGATGGATGCTGTTACACACTGGCAAATTCAGGTTGTGCAATTAAAATTTTGCTGGAACTTTTTGCACAGCAAAGCCATTTTCTCCTAAAACCGGACTTCCTGCAATCAGGAAAGAGTTGGGAAAAGGCACTTGAAAGTCTGGAATAACATTTGCTTGACACAACGTAGCTAACGTCTCTGCAAACAAACTGCAATGAATGCTCAATAAACAGGTATTCTGGAAGTAACCTCAGTGCCGTAGTTCCTTTTTATTTATTTTTTGTGTGCCAGAAGATGTGCACTTCCTTTCTTAGATGAACCAGTCCTACCTGGTCACTGACCGATGTCTCAACACACGAAGTCCCCATGCCTACTTGATTACAGAAAACCAATCTCACCAATACTGTTTTGGGCAATGGAAAAGAAGTTAAAACGGGAGACTGTAAAATTGCCTAAACTGGCTGTGAGACTGGACTCCAGCCGTGACTTTGGGACTCTCCAGCAGGGAGACCTTGCTTCAGGCAAGGACCAGACACTGCTGGCATGCTGTGTGGGCAGAAAATAGCTGTTGCGAGGCTCCACCTGTGTGTTGCTTGTGGGTGGTAAGAGGCAAGAATAGACATTGGTAGTAAAGAGCAGGGAGCACCCAGCATGGATTCTCAGCCGTGCAAGGGATGACTTGGCTGCACATCATATCCTATCCACAAGCCGCTTCCAGTCCCCCAGGCCAACAAAGTGACGGTGAATTTGCTTTATGCTCTAAAAGCCGGTTTGCTTCCAATGCATCTTGCTTCAGGCTTAACTACGGAAGGTAAAAATAGCTGTGTTGGCACCACACCTTTGCCTCTTTGCTTCCCCTTACTTGACAATGCATTCCCCAACCATCTATAGGCAATGTGATGGCTCTTTCCTACTGTGAAGGTTTCTTGGACGCAAACACCTGATGTTCATTGTTTGCTGTGGCCACATTCTCGGAGCGAGGGCTGCAGGGGCACTGCCCTCTGCGGTCAGGAGGGTGCACATGTGTGTTGCTGCAACAAGTGCTTACCTGCTGCATAAACTTCCTTTACTACAGGAGTGAGGGCGGGGAACTGTGGCCCTCTAGATGCTGTCCGACTACAACTCCCATCATCCTTGACCACTGACCATGATGGCTGGGGCTAGGGTTGCCATATTTCAGAGAGAAAAATTCCTGACACCTGCAAGCCTAGCTGGGGAAGATGGTACTTGGGAATCCAACAGAGTCACCAGACAGCGGTTCTGGGGACATTTTTCTACCTACAGCTGCATGATGCCATTTTGTGGTTTTTCTTTATTTCTTTTTTACAGGTTGGCTTGCTCCGTGATTGATGGACACCTGAGGCAATACTTCTATGCAGTGCTGATGTTCCCCCTGCTAAAAAGGAACTGTGTTCAAAGGATGACTTCACTTCCCAGCTCAAATCCAGCAGCCTGCTTCAAAACCCAGCTACTGATTTTCTTCACAAATGGGAGCATCTCTCCAAGTTTGACTTCATTTAGACTTGGACACAGCATCAACTCAAGTGGCAATAATCTAGTTGTTTTTTAAAAGCTATCTCTAGATCGGCTTTTCATTCTTTTTTTTTTTTTTTGGAAAATTAGCTTGCGTGCTGTTCTGTACCCTAATTTCTTAATTTAGTAAAAAGAGAGGTTTGCCTACTTCTCCTGGCCAAGCCTAGGGCCTATCTTAATAACCAAGGAGGAATGTTTAATTTTCCTTAACTACTTTTGAGTTGTGAGCAAGAAAGTGAAAGCAGTAGGAAAACTTAGGAGTTTATGGCTGAGTCTAAGGATCTTTCTACCACCTAAGCCTTCAAAATGACAAGGCATACCAGTGTCTCACCTCTTGACTAACATGGATGCTTTTGATGATACAGGATGCAATCTTGAGCATGAATTGGTGCCCAGTGCACCTTGGAGGCCTCTTCCCCCTCACACCTGAACCATTCCTGCCTTGAAGGGAGCATGGTGGTGGTTCTGGCAAAGTTACCAGATTGGTGTATTGGTTGGGATGAAGGCCAGCTCCCAGAAGACAGCCAAATGGGTTCTCAGAGGACCCATGGCTGCTAATACTTTGCAAGGAGTGCCTGACTTGGTGCAAAGAGTGCCACACCTTGCAGTATAAATGCATCTCTTAGCTTGCCAACTTCAAACACTTCTCCCTCATTATACAAAAAAGGGGAAGGGCACAATATCCTGCTTCTAGCCTCCCAAGACTAGCAACTCAAGGGCTTAGACAATGTTATACATATCCCCACCCCACCTCCTCTGTTGCTTCTACTTGGTACCATTCTGTGTGACCTGGACTTGTTTTTGTAAGCCTTTAATAAAAATTCTGCGAAACAAAGGTTTGGCTCTTGGAGTGTCACTTAGCCCCAAAGCCTTTGGCTCTGTTTGTCTAAACTGGAAGTGACACTAAGCAAGAACTTTTAACAACGGTATTCTCCAAAGCAGAGTGGGAGCAAGAAAAGATGGTGCACCATGAGGATAATGAATTTTTGCAGCCCTTTCAACTATAGAAGGGTTCATGGGGTGATGCAGCCTCATGTTCAGCAGGTGTGCCCCCATCTATGTGCATGGCATGCATGAGAAGGGCTTGACTTGCAGTGAAGGCTGGTGCCCATTGGGGCCCGTAGGTTAGAATATGGGGAGGTCAACAGTAGATGGACCTAGAGCCAATGATGGACCCTGTGGTGGACCCAATGGTGAAGAACAACAGTAGGTGAACCCAGATGGATTGGCAGAGCTAACTAATTATGCTTTGGTCCCATTCCCCTCCCTGCTGAATTCTACAAAGGCAACACTGAGATTAAGGTGGAGGAGGCTGATAGCCAGTGTCACCAACTGGACTGGTTGTCAGTAAGGAGGCAGGCAATGAAGACAGCCTGAGCTTGGTGGGACAGTGGCCCATTTGCTCTACTGCGCCAATCTCCACTATATCTTTGTGTGCCAGCATGTTGTGTGGAGCTCCTTGTGCTGCATGGAACAACTCTATGTGCATGGAGCCCTTTCTGACGTCCACCAATGTGCAGATGGGCAGGTTAACCCATTAGTGAAATGGAGTAGGGCAGCTTGACCGCCAGACCACTTTGAGTTCTGGACTCCTGTATTTCACAGCCGGTTGTAGGCACCAGGCTGGCGCCTTCTCTACATTTCTTGATGCTGTGCATGACTCGGAGCTAGTTTTAAATCAATATAGCTTCGTTAATGTTGCCACATTAAACCTTAACACGTTTATTTGAAGATAAATCCCATTGTTTTATAAATAAAGGATGTCTTACACATTGCACAGCAACAAACCCAAGCTTGCCATGGGCGTGGAGTGCGCACATAACTAGAGGCTGCAGCCAACCCTAGCACTGAGTGCATCTGTGTAAAAATCTCCCACCTGTATTCTGTTCCATTTCATATATTAGGCGAATGAAAGCTTAAGCATACAACTAAAAAATGGAATGTGTGAAGAAATTGTCTGGTATTTCTAGGACTGCAACAGTCCTAAATATTTAGATTGCTGGAGAATGTGACTTGTAGAACTGAAGGCCAAAAGAGTATATAAAATGGCAACAGGAAGACTTGATTTAGGCCCAGTATTCTTTGTCCTGTAATGATGTACAATGCTAGTCATGCTTGGAATAGACCTGCTGAAATCAATGTGACGTGCCAGAGGTTTAACAGGTTTCAGTGGGTCTACTTTGTATATGAATAACATTGGCTACCACCCACAATATATTTTAGGTGATTACTTCATGGGCAGTATTCAGCTGACTTTTACTTAGAGTAGGCACCTTGAAATTAATAAAGTTAGATTTATTAATTTCAGTGGGCCTGCTCTGAATAAAACTTAGTTGACTGCTGACCAATGTATGTGATACAGTGGTACCTCAGGTTAAGTACTTAATTCATTCCGAACGTCTGTTCTTAACCTGAAGCACCACTTTAGCTAATGGGGCCTCCTGCTGCCACGCCACCAGGGCACGATTTCTGTTCTCATACTGAAGCAAAGTTCTTAACCTGAGGTACTATTTCTGGGTTAGTGGAGTCTGTAACCTGAAGCGTATGTAACCCAAGGTACCACTGTATATTGCTTAGGGATGGATTCAGCTAATGAGTCCTGCTGGTGGAAGCTTGTGTGAGGACTTCCACTAGCACAATGGGGCTTCCACCTCACCTCCCTCTGGGCTCTGGCAGGACTGGGAGAGCCCCCAGAACAGCTTGCAGGGGGAGGAGAGGGTGGATTGTTCTGTCTGGCAAGCAGAAATGCTTGCGCTGAGGGAATGATCGCCATAGTGCTACGTTAAATTCCTTCCTTGGTGTGGATTTTCAGCACTCCATTAACATCACTGTCTTAAACCTGAAACCTCTCTTCCAATTCCAGAATTTTACTGACTTAATTTCTCAGCTATGCAACAAACAGTGTCTAACTGTAAAACTATTCCCCTCATTAAAATTCTGCCTGCTGAAGTAAACGGATGAGATTTTCCTCTCTCCCTCCATAATTCATAGGCAATAAACGTTTTGTGGGTTTCTCCAATCCTAGAAAATATTCAAACATATCAGTGATGATCCCAGGAGAAAAACTGGCCAGTTAACAGGACAGCAATATCTCTGTTATCCCACTGATGATCTGTCCCTCTGTAAGTGCCTCAGTTGGGAACTCCAGATGATCAAAGACTCCACATTTTAAGAAACTGAATGAGATAAGTCATTAAATCTGTTTCACATTTGGATATCCTGAGTGGTTTTCTAATGCATCTGGACAAAATAGCCTGATTTGCATATCCTGGCAAGCTGCCTTATGGCTGATTGGGACAGTGTGAATGTGTGGGCTCCTGGGTGCTTTGCTCTTATCTGGTCTTTTAAAATTCCACACAGAGCAAAGTCAAGGTGTTGTCTGAACTTTGGCTCATAGTTGAACACACTTCTTCCTACCTGTGAATTGTAACCAAGGTCTGTTCTTGGCTATAGCTCATGGGCCGTGATAAAGAGAGTTTAATCATGAGTCTATGAGTTCAGAAATGTGCTAAACTAAACCTTGGGTTTATCCACACTTATGGCAACAAATGGCAATTTGGGGTTTTCATGCATTGCTGTTAGCTCTGATTCAGTGGTAAAGAATGGGCTTTCATGGGGAAAGCCCTGGAGCAAAAAAGAGAATGCTTCGACACAGAGGTCGACTATGCCTGAAAAGCGTGAAGAAAAGGTAAGAGTCCTTACTGGGTGGAACACTGGCCCAGGCTACAACGACAGTTTAAAACTCACTAATACTTCACGGGTGATGCGAGTGGCGCTGTGGGTTAAACCACAGAGCCTAGGACTTGCCGATCAGAAGGTCGGCGGTTTGAATCCTCGCGACGGGGTGAGCTCCTGTTGCTCGGTCCCTGCTCCTGCCAACCTAGCAGTTCGAAAGCACGTCAAAGTGCAAGCAGATAAATAGGTACCGCTCCGGCGGGAAGGTAAACAGCGTTTCTGCGCACTGCTCTGGTTCGCCAGAAGCAGCTTAGTCATGCTGGCCACATGACCTGGAAGCTGTCTGTGGAAAATGCCAGCTCCCTCGGCCAGTAAAGCAAGATGAGCACCGCAACCCCAGAGTCGGCCACAACTGGACCTAATGGTCAGGGGTCCCTTTACCTTTTTAATACTTCACTTCTATTCACATGGCTGCTTAACAGCGGGTTGCATTACTGATACGGCATTTGCTTTCTCCCATGCTAGGAAGAAAACTGGCAGCTACCCTCCATGCCAGAGGTTCTCATACGCTGGTTTTCAGAAAGCTGGTAGAACAGGAGACAATATCTATACTTGGCTCAGTGCTCATTTCTCTCTTCCAGGCCCCACCCCTTCTCCCTGCAAAAAGGATTGCTTTTCCCCAGGGCTGGATTTATAAAAACAGGCCAACAGATCAGGTCTAGGGCTCATGATTTTCACAATATGGTGCTGTGTAGTCTATTATGTTTTCCTAGAAATTGATCAACTAAAGGGACACACACACACACACACACGAGAGAGAGAGAGAGAGAGAGAGAGAGAGAGAGAGAGAGAGATTGATTCATGTGTGGCCCATTAGGCTGGGCCCAGGAATACACATCAATTAACATACAAGAATAATACAATAAAGCAGCTGCAATACATTTTTAACTGCCTATGAATTGCTCCTTAGGTACACTGATAGGAATATGCAGGCAATTTATTTTTTAAAAAAGGGTTTTTTAAAAAAAAATAATTCAACGTTCATACTTCTAAACAAAAGGATTTAGCAGAAGACAAAAAGTACAGAGGAATCATGCTCCACTGTGCAAACATGAAAGACTCTAATCCTGGGGAGGGGAACCTCTGGCCTTCCACATGTTAATGAACTATGACACTCATCAGCCCCAGCAAGCAGAGTTCAGTAACATGGGGGGGGGAGGTCAAAGGTTCCTCGCCCCTGCTCTGTTCTGGTGTTGGACCACGACACCACAAGAAGGGCACCCACAGATGACCTCAGTGATCAGGCAGGTATATAGGGAATAAGATGATCCCTTTGATATCCTGGTCCCAAGTTGTTTAGGACTGGCCACCCCTCAACTACTACAACAACCCAAGATTAAGCCAGCAAATGAAAGGAACTTCAAACCACCACCTCAATCTTCCAACAATTAATGGACAGCCCTCTGCCTCTCCTCCAACTTCCTTTGCCCCTCACCCTGGCAGTTTTCCTCCCCGCCACCTGCAACATGGGAGACAAACCACCTGGGACTCCGCTATACATTTTAAGTGTGTTTTAAGCGCAACATACAATGTGACACTAGATGGCAATGGTGAGCCTTATGGAAAATTCAATGTATTGTTTAAAACACCCTTTAAAAAGCATTTTCGGGACCTTTTTTTTATGTGTGTGTAGATTCCACCCTGGTTGCACACTGTCTCTCCATGCAAATCTCTCTCTCTGGATGCTGTTTCCCTGCTTCTCCTTCTCCATCCCTCCCCTCTCCTTCTAAGGTCTTCAGAGATTCGGAGTAGGGAAATAAAGATTTCCTTAGTTAAGCTTCTTAACCTCAAAAGGCTGTGTCAATGGCAAGACTTTAGTGGCCTACAGAAAGTGACATCAAATTGACAAAAATAAGCCACACTGAAGTTCAGCCCAGTAACATTAGGCGTGAAACAGAGCCCCCATCTTCCTTACGCTTTAAAGGCCAGGCAGGTGACAGCGGAAAACAAAGGAACAGAACAGCTGCAAATTTCCTTAGTGGTAGCTGGGGAAACTGAATGCCATAATCCTGTTGGCCAAAAGGGGCACATTCAGTTTCTCTATAGGACCAATATTTGAAGTACATTTTCATGAAAACTATGGAATAGTGAGAGCTAATA